CAAATGCACTAAGTTGAACACCAAAATGCACTAAGTTGAACACCAAATGCACTAAGTTGAACACCAAATGCACTAAGTTGAACACCAAATGCACTAAGTTGAACACCAAATGCACTAAAGTGAATAAAAGCGGCTATGGGGAATATGACGAAAAATAATGATAACATTTCGTCGAAGGCCTCATGCTTCAATCCTAGACCTTATGTTTTCTAAGGTCTATGCTTCAATCAACATTGTATACCCTACACCACAGTCCCTGACGTGCCGAGGGACTGTGCCTACACACTCTGTATTACGGTGTATTCAATGATAATAATGATAATAATGATAATAATGATAATAATGATAATAACTTCAAATCTGATTCCCATTCTAACTTGTTGCAATTTATCGTAGCATTCGAAAAAATACTACTAGTAGTATATTCGATTCGTGTTCCTCATCAAGGTAATGTAAAATACTTTATTTTAGCTGGACTTTATTTTCGCTGAAAAGACTTTTTGGGTATTTTGTATGAAATTTATTTTCACTGATTTTTAACAAGTTTAATGTAAAATATAGGAAAAAAATTATATTCGCTGGATTTTAGTTTCACTGAATCATTCCTTTAGCGAAAATAGCGAAAATTGATTCCAAGCGAAAATAAAGTATTCTATAGTACTATAACAATAGGAAGACGGCACAGCTACAGAACGGAAGAGCCTTTTAGAGTTTGGACACGCCAAAAAACAGATCGGTCAGTTCCGGTCACGTGATAAGAAACAATACAAACTCGACGATTCATTCATTGCGAGCGATCGGCTGACTTGAACGTGGACGTGTCTGAGACGAACTGGCACACGAGACAAACTCAGTTATATCACTGGTTTTTCTACGCAATTCATTTCATGGTATCTAGCGAGGATGGCAACGAAAGGTAATTATTAATAATCATCTCGGTTAAAACTTTTCATTATAACTACACAAATTAGGATAACCATGATTCCACAGCTATAATTGGAAGTAACTATTAGAAACTCTTGATGGCATTTTTGAGAACTTTTACAAAATTGATGTTGCTGTAATAATTGTTATTGCTCTTCTCTACACGTGTAGTTTGTCTTTCGGTTATTTTACCTGCGCATTTGTTTTCATATTTTGTTCTGTTTTGCTCGTAGAACTAAAATTCTATGTTTGTTTCAAATCTCCGCCTACAGTTTCTAGCCAATGATATGTATATATAAAGTTCTCAGTCACTGGACGAGAATCTCTGGCAAATTAATATAAAGTAAAATGTACAGTTTTTACGTCCATGCATGTACATAATCTTGGAATGCATTAAGCAACGAGCACTCCTCCTGAACGGAACCGGGAATCCCCATAACAAAATTATAGCGACTTTGTTGATTAATTTTACTACAGAAATGACAACAATCAGATCTTTTTATTGTTCACGTAGTTTCTGTGCATTCATTTATAAATATACACGCAAAGCTGTGACAGTGTTACCACGTGCGTGTAGTTGATAACGCCTTGAATATCTCAAACTAAGCACTACCGTATGCCGGTACTTCAATATCACACCTGTTTATTGCGTAGCGTACAGAGCACAAACTTCCTGTTGTAAGAGACAAAAGATCGTTGCGCAATTCTGTAAACATTTGTTTGTGTTTTTAGTGAGGAGCTAATTCCTCTATTGTTTTGATATTAACAAAATACTCCATGATCTGGTTTGGTATGTGCGCGGCTTGTGCACGATCAACGATCTTTCACAGGTGTATGACCTTTCAAAGAGAAAATTTGAGCGGAAGAGTCCAGTCTGCGAGTTAAACCCCACAGGTGGTATTGTAAATGTGCAAAACAAACCGGTAGTCATCAAAGATTTATTAAAATACGAACATTTTATAAAATGAGCGAAGGCAACCTAAATCGCTTGAATTTAAATTTCGTCGAAAAAACAAAAATCGTCGTTGTAAAATACTAGTACCGGTAAGTTGGAAATTAAACGACCCCGAACCCGCGGTTTTGACTATATGCGTTTGACGTAATTCATTACACAACTCGCCGTAAAAACACATTCCAACAACAAATATCCATTTGAACCAAGATGAGACATAAACTGAAATGTATTAGAATATTAAGATGTGAATTTCACGTCAGCGGGCCGTAAAGGCCCACAGGTGTCAATCAACCTCCAGGGTAGGTACGGTGTTTAATACAAAAGCAGCGGTGAGTAATTGAACAAACTGTCGCATTGTGCCGAACGAAAACTGTCCTACGTAACAAAGACACGCAACTATATCGTAAATAATAAATACAATTTCTGTACGCGGGAATATCATTTTTATTTCGATTAAAAATACAATAAAGTAATAAAGTATGAAAACTAAAATATAACAAATTATAAAATTGTTATATTTATTATATTTCATTATTAAAATCTGACATTTCAATGTAAATGTATTGTGATTCGCCTTTATTTTTAGTTTCTGTTTATTTTTACAGCAAGAGCATGTACGTCCTTTACTAAACAACAAGTGGCAATAATGCAAGAGATATTCAACACCGTAACGCAATATCCAGATCCCATAGCCCGTGAACGTATTGCTAACGTAACAGAATTACCAGAAAATGCAGTCGTGGTAAGTTTTAATTCGTACGCACGTACCATATTAACGTAAATACGCATTAACAAACACACTTACACATTGTTAACAAAGTTTCTCCACACGCTCACGAGTCGTAATTTTTAATTAAAAGTCATCAAAACTCTTCAATTTATATTTGTGAATAATTATAGGAATCTATGACGCGTAATATTTGGCCCTCTGTAGAAACTGAAGACAACCATCACGTGAAAAAAATGCGTTCCATAGTATTACGTTATAACGGTACACATTTTCAAGGGTCACCAGCGTTTCTTTTTCTACTAATCGTTTATTTTCTTTCTTTATAAGGGACTTACTGCATGTAGTCTTAGAGTCAGTGTCATTGCCACGATACGGTGACCAACACCAGATTAAAAGTCAGCAACCATCACGAACAGAGATTTGATATAGACGAAAACAATATTCGTTAGATGAAACAATTAAAACCACTAATAATACGCAGTGATTGTTATTTTCAAGTTAAATAACAAAACAATGAGAGAACATGTGTATTTGGAGAATTTCATTGTTTCACCGAGCGAATACTCAAATGTGTACAAGAAAGGCGTTGTCAGGTCAGGATAAATCATCTGTATACAATCTGTATACAATATCAAACAAGGACATTAAAAGTAACATGTTCTCGTCCTTTGAGTTGACCTAAATTATGCTTTTTTGTATTGCAAACAATTTTATGACTTGTGAATTTGGTTGTCTAAAATTAAAAAAAATATATTTACTGACATGTTTGAGTTTTTTTGTATCACAATGAAAAAGGCAAGTAAAAACTAATGTAAAAAATGTGTCTAAAGTTTGTGTGGCGGATGCATTTTGCACAAGAATTAAAATTACATAAAAATTAAGCCACAATGACATCACTACCCATATGTTAGCTGCGATGCAGTGTGACTGTAACTGAACAATAACTGATTTTTTGTGTTTATTTTTATAGAGATGGTTTCAAAATCGCCGCCAAAGTCTACGTTCTAAATCGGCGACCTTGCCTTCTAATATGACTTTACAGAATTTACCGGATTTACCAACTAGCCAGGCATTACCACTGATCGACTCTATTTATGACCGTAGTTGTGTTATGGATGACCTTTGCAAACAGTCCAGTAAGGACTACGCACCATCAACAGCGCCATCTGGCGAGACGTACAAGTATACACGTAATACTAGTAATCTTCCAACTTCCTGTTACCCAGTGCCATTTCCAAACTACGAATATCCCTGGCTCCAGTGTCATACAGCATCTCGACTATGGAGCGAAATGACGTCATCTTCTTATTTCAACGACGCCACCTCTTGTCAACGTTTTTCTCGATTCCCTGCTGCGCCCTCTGTTGCTTCTCGAAGTCGGTTAAGGCGGTTTAATGCGCATTCCAACACGACTGACAAGCCGGATTTGTCTCATCTCAAAACCAATGACATACTTTATCATTCAGACTTCATTGATTGGAGAGACTCTCAGTTGTCATCGACTAAGACTCAAACTGTTTATCGTATGCCGTCTTCAGTGTTATTCACTGTTAATCTCCGTCCACCAAACATTATCGCTGCTTACCCCGCTTTTCACATGTTTATGAGAAATGCTCACGTTAAAGCGCAGGAATACTTGTAATGCATGGTTGATGTCACATGTCTGCAATTTCAGTCTTTGTTTGGATAACAATCACAATCATAATTGGTTACTAATATTTTGAGATTAAATAGCTTTTTATATATGTAGGTAATTGGGCAATTTCAAGTGTTCTGTTTTGTAATTGGTTGGGCGTGTTTATTTCAAAGTTTACTTCTTTCCAGTAATATTTCACATACGATCCCAAATGACTTACGTTCTACCCAGGGACGTACTTGTACTTGTTTTGATTGTATATTTTTATTTTTTATGTTTTCGTGTACCAGCTGCAACCGATTTCGCATTTATTTATTTGTAAATTATTAAAGTTTTTTCAATCATCTGTAATTGGTGTTTCTCAGTTATCAGTAAATAACACATATTTAATATAATTATATGCATGTTTTAAATCACCGCGTGAGTAGCAAACACTGAACTTGTCACCTGGTGGCGCTTTGCATTCTCATTCACAGGGACAGAATATACATTGAAAATGATACTGGATAGGAACAATCATTTCAGTGAACATGC